CAGGCCCATCTGGGCCCTCCGTGCTGTCCTTCCCCCGCGTGTTTTGAAACCACCCTGTGGGGCGTTTCGGCGTCTGGAGCACCGGCCCGTTCTGGTTGTGAAATGTCCCTCTGTACTTCTGGCAAAACGGCTCGTCCTGCAGCCTGTTTACGCTGCTATTAATAGAACCACTCCCGCTTTTCATGATTCGTGTTTTCATGGACGCGGGTTTTCGTCATGGTCTGTGTCACGGGCTGCTTTAGATTGAAGCGTCTCTCGCAAGCAGGGTGGTGACTTTGCTTCCTCATGGTCTGCGACCTGCGGCTGGGCGTGCAGGACTCGCGCACCGACCGCCCGGAGTCTGACCTGTTCCCGTGCTGGCCACTGTCCGGCCCCCCCATCTGTTCTTAGTTTCTCAGTTGCTGGCTTTTCTTTATTGCATTTCTAAACGAACCATTTTATCTTTGTTATCCGTGACTTTGCTTTAATCAGGCAATTAATTAGCTTTTAAGGAAATGAAGAAGCAAGATAAAAACCTTATCTATATTTTAAAGATTTATTTATTGATACACATAGAACTGGGGTGCAGGCCACAGGTGCAGGGGCCGTGAGGGGCTTCACCAGAGTCAGAGCGAGGAGCAGAACAGACCGACGGGCGAAGTTCACTGCTGAGGGGAGCAGCGGGGAGACAGGAGGGGTCTGCCACGCCTTGGGGGTCCCCTCCGGGGCAGAGATTGAACTTGGGTGAAGCGGCTGCAGCCAGCCTGCAGTGCTGTGCTCTAACCCGCTGCGCCCCCAGTGAGGGCCCGAAAGCGCCTTGTTGACTTAAGCACTGTTACAGCAGGGCTCTTTCCATCCCTGCCTGGAAATCTGTTCGCCTCTGCTGTCACGGTCCATCACAGCTCTTCAGTGTGTCTGTGCCTGACACAGGCTCCTAATTTGATTTATAAAATGCCATTCACTGGGTTTCGTGTTGAATCAGCATGTCTCTGCTGGATGGAGAATTCCACACGGACAGATCCGTCTTCTTTAAACTTTACAAGATGGCCTTGTGCAGGCTCTGGCCCACCTGGGTTACCTGGTCTCCTGCCCACCTGGGTTACCTGGTCTCCTGCCCACCTGGGTTACCTGGTCTCCTGCTCCACCTGGGTTACCTGGTCTCTCCTGCCCACCTGGCTCCACCTGGGTTACCTGATCTCTCCTGCCCACCTGGGTTACCTGGTCTCCTGCCCACCTGGGTTACCTGGTCTCCTGCTCCACCTGGGTTACCTGGTCTCTCCTGCCCACCTGGCTCCACCTGGGTTACCTGATCTCTCCTGCCCACCTGGGTTACCTGGTCTCCTGCTCCACCTGGGTTACCTGGTCTCTCCTGTCCACCTGGGTTACCTGGTCTCCTGCCCACCTGGGTTACCTGGTCTCTCCTGCCCCACCTGGGTCACCTGGTCTCCTGCGCCACCTGGGTTACCTGGTCTCCTGCTCCATCTGGGTTACCTGGTTTGCTGGCTTCACCTGGTTCCTGAGGAAGAGTGGGCAGTGACCCTGTGGCTGTTCCTCTGCATGTGACATGCTATTTTCTTAAAAAAGATGTATTTGTTTATGCACACAGAACTGGGGGACAGGTCAGAGGTGGGGGTGGTGGTGAGAGGACTCCAGAGACACAGTGGTGACCAGAACAGGCAGATCCACTGAAACACACTGCTGAGGGGCAGCGGGGAGGCAGGGGGTCTGCTGCCCCTGGGGTCCCTCCCTGGCTAGGATAGACTCGTGCTGCATGGCGGGGACACCTCACAGTGCTGCACCCCCATCCGCTGCACCCCACGGTGGCCCAACATGCTATTTTCTTTGTTCTTTTTTTTTTTTTAAAAAAACCTATTGATTTAAAATCTAGACAATTCCATGGTTACAGGTATTTTTAACATTTTCAAGTAATCACTAGACTCCAAGAGACGGGTCCTGCTTTGGACCTCCCCCAAGGCAGCTGCTGTCGCTCACCCCAAAAGTTTACTCCTTCCAAAGAGAAGCGGGGAGGGGCCCTGTCCCAAGGCCAGGCGTGGGGGTCGGGCCCCTGTGGCCTCCAGCGCAGCTCTCCTCACCCCCACGCTATCCACTGGGCCGGGAGCTGGGAGCCGGCCTGGAGCTCAGAGCCGGGCAGCTGGCTGCGGGCGGTCACTTGCACCTCATGCGAGGCCGACGCCGCGTCCACAGGGGTCAGCTCTTCCCGTGTCCACTCGCTGCCCCAGCCCTGGAGAGACGGCGGGAGCGGGCCGGCTGCCGCCATGGCGCGGGCACTCCCTCCCCAGGCCCGAGCTGCTTCCCTGGGACACCGGCACTGCTAGTGCCACGCGGCACCTGCTCTCCCGCCCTGACATGTCCAGTCCCTCTGGGGAGCGACGCCAGCA